AAAAAGCTGGAAGTGGCGCTGTGGCTCAAGTGGTAGAGCGTTAGCCTTGAGCTGAAGAGCTGAGGGACAGCGTCCAGGCCCAGAGTTCAAGCCCCATGACTGGACCCCCCCCAAAAAAATAATATTTCTCAGGCTGGAAATGTGGCTTAGTGGTAGAGTGCTTGCCTAGCATGCATGAAGCCCTGGGTTTGATTCCTCATTACCACCTAAACAGAAAAGGCTGGAAGTGGTGCTGTGGCTCAAGTGGTAGAGCTCTAGCCTTGAGCACAGAGAGGCTCAGAGACCATCCCCAGGCCGAGTTCAAGCCCCAGAACTGGCCACAAAAAATATTTTTCCCTTAACTTTGTGGTATAATTGTAAAAGTCATGGAAAGCTGACTTTCCTTTTCGGACTGGCCTTGTAGGTATATAGGAACATTGATTCTGTACTCTGAAGCTTTGCTATATTAATCCATTCACTCTGGCAGCCCTTTTATAGATTCTCTTGGGGAATTTCTAGATCTAAGACCATGTTACTGAGAATATAATCTTATTCCTTCCTAATTTAGATGCTTTTTCTTTCCTTTTCTTACCTACTTGCCTTGGCTAGAACATCCAATACATGATTGAACAGTGGTGGTCTTGTTTTGTTTCTGTCTTGGTTTCTTATTTCTGATCAAGGGGGAAATGTGTCCATTCTTTCACCACTGAGCATAATGCCAGCCGTAGGGTGTTTGTAGATGTCTTTTGTCATGTTGAGAAAGTTCTCTTCCATTTCTAATTTTCTGGTGGTGGGTTTTATGAAAGGATGTTTAACTTTGTCAGATGTTTCTTGTGTCAGTTGAAATGATCAAGGGTTCCCTTGCCCTGTCCCAGTTCTATGTCAGATTACCTAGATTTCCTTCGGTTAACTCATCCTCATTCCTGGGATCTCCTCCTTTTTATACTTTTACTCTCACTTTGATGGAACAGATTCTCCAGTGGTTTTCCAAGGAAAGATGGATGGGAGATAAACTTGGAAAATGTGATGCCTTCCCATTTGACAACATGTGTGGGTTACAGAGTTTTCCTTGCCTTTGAAATGTTGGAGCTGCTGTCCCGCTGTCTCATTTCAGGCATCACTATCGAGAAGTCTTCTACTGGTGTGATTGTTTCTCTGGCTAAGTCCTGTTTTATTCTCTCTGAAAACCTTTAGTGTCTTTACATTATTTTGACTTTTCACAAGGTGGCTTGATGTCATTTCTTTTATATCCTTTGCACTAGACATTCATGTGGCTTCTCAAGTTAAAGATTAATGTTTCTCAACTCTATGAAAGTTCCTGTTTTTAAAAAAGAAGAAATTCTGGTTTTGGAGGTCAAACCCATGGCCTCACACATGCTAGACAAGCCCTCTACCACTGAGCTATATTCCCACCCCTGTCTTTTGTTTTTCAATCATATAATTTCTCTATTTTCTCTTACTGGAATTCCTATTTATTGTATATTAGTCTTCTGGTTTTTTAAATTCTTCGGCATTTTTCATTTGTCATTTTATTCTATTCTTTGAGCAATGGCTTTATCTCTCTTTTTTCAACCTTTGTGTTGAATTTCTGTTTCTACAGTCACATTTTAAATTTCTAGAAAATTGGTTTGTTTTTTTTGTTTGGTCAGGGGGCTTGAACTC